GTGGGATGTATGGTGATTCCCACCTCTAATATTTTTATGATGGAGTAGTGTTCAAAGATGCACAAAGTGCCCGTCTCTGTGTGGATATAATAGATTTGGTTGTTCTTACCACAGTGTTGGCATTGGTTGGTGTTACTTGCTATAATTTCTAACTGTGGAATCCCAGAGCTGATGATGTCTTCTGCTCATTACATGAACTAGACGGAGCTCTTCTCCAGTAACAATGCTGGATACTCCTGTGCGCACTCTTTTATACTCTGCCAAGTGCTGATTTGTATCTCTCCCTCAATCTTCCAGTCTGGACAATCACCTAGTGTCAATCGGATTTAATTACATTTATCATTCACTTATTTCTCTTCAAATAAGTGCAACATTGAGGGAACAGTTCACCCTGACTGACGTAGGGTTAAAGGGCCCCCCGCCCTGGAGCCAGGCCTGCAGAGGGTGCCTGGTAGCCGGGCCTTAGCCCATTGTTCCCAGCTGGGCGCCGCCTGAAGAAGGGACATGGGACCACGATCCTGTAACCCCACCACTTTTATATTTATCAATCTGAACATATATATGTGGAGACAGAACCGACAGTCATGTCTTTCTCACAGCTGTAGCAGAACACCATCAATGTGCAAACTCAAACTCGTAAAATACTCACCGGTAAGTGATTTTGACTTTTATGAACATTAACCCATTAAGTATGAGATGAACTAAGTCTGTGACAGAAGACTATTGTGGCTCTTTGAAGTTGAAGTCTGTGTTTAAATGTTTCCACTGATATTTAATGACTTTTTCATGTGTAATTGTTCTTAAAACAAAATGCAAGAAAGGCCAGAGTGTTCAGTTAGTTCTCTGTATATGATGGTAACAGGACACAACAAACACAACGTAAGTGTGCACATTCCATATGCAGTGAACCCAAGCACCTGATCATATTCCTGCACCTGCTTTGATATAAAATGAAAATGGTAGACAAGAGAAAAACAGCGTGGGCCACAACAGAAGTGTCTCTGTAGTCATACTTTTGACATCAATGAAAACACAAAGTGTATCTTTGTTGTTTTATTTAATTTGGCAACTTGCTCGTTGCTCCTCCATCACGATTAAACAAAAGACAGAAAACCACTAATGGCTGCACACATCTCCAAACTGCATCAGTATGTCATTTTACAGAACATCTCCATACTCATAAGGTACATATTCATTTACAGATAATCAGCTAGAAGTCTACACACCGGCCCTTCCTCTCCCAATCTCCGTAGCGAGTTGGCTCTGGACCCCGTGGGCCCCCCTTCTCCTTCGTCACAGGGTTCACATCATCAGGGAACTCTGAAAAAATAAGAGTGATTGAGATCTTCAGGGACAGTTTTCCTTTTCTCAGCTTACAATAAGGTGAC